CAAGCAGATACGTTACAAATTGGTGTCAGAAGTGGGATCGATAAAAAAAAAGATGGAACCATAAGTGCCAAATCAGACTACGACTTAGCAGATTTGATGGCAGCAATACAAGAACAGCAAAAGAAACAAGAAGAGAGACAACAGCAGTGGCAAGAAAAGAAAGGAAACAAAAAGAACGAAAAATAAACAAGAAGAGAGACTACAGCAGTGGCAGGAAAACCAGTACTAGCGGCAACTGGAACAACAAAAGAAACACTCCAACAGTTGAGAGAAAACCAGCGCACACAAATGGAAAAGATTAGTAAATTTCAAAGTGAATTAAATACATTAAAGGATGATTTGCTGTCTTTTACACAAATAGTATATATTAGCCATGGATCTATTTAGCCCCAGACAACAGGAAGCCCCTTCCAGACTCCGCAGCTAAACCCTAATGCAGACATCTTCAGTCCTGTTAGAAGTTACATTACAGACATGAATGTCAGCAATAGGGGTGATCTAGTACGAAAGAAGCCACAGGAATTCGATGGGAAGGCACCGTGGGAAGCATATAGAGCACAATTTGAGCTCTTGGCGGAAATGAATGGATGGATGGAGGAGCAGAAAGCAGTGTCCCTGGCAATGAGCCTGAAGAGACAACCACTAGAAATACTTGGACAGTTGTCAGCAGACGACAGGCACAACTATAGAGCACTGGTGGCTGTTCTAGAATTCAGGTATGGAACTCAAAATCAGTCGGAAGTCTACAGGGCTAGGTTTAGGACTAGAGTCCGTGCTGAAGGGGAGAACCTGCAAGAGCTAGCACAGGATTTGGAAAGTATGGCACACAAGGCTTACCCAACTGCACCACTCGATCTCCTCAAGTTGTTACTGAGGGATCAGTTTGTAGATGCCTTGGACAGTCCATAACTGAAGATACAAGTAAAGCAAGCACACCCCTCTACCATGCAGGATGCAATGGCCAGAGCTCTTGAATTCGAATCCTACATTAAGTCCAGCACATAGGTACCAAGGTTGGTACATTCATCGGGATTCAAGGCCAGAAGAGGTCAGCTTTGGAAGAGTTTGAGGGACTTTGCTGTCACTGTAACAAACCAGGGCACAAGAGAGCTCAATGCTGGCAACTTGAACACAGAGAAGATACCATGGCAGAAAAGGCTGCTTCCCAGAAAGGCTATTGGAACTGTGGGGAGCAAGGACATCTGAGGAGCCAGTGTAAGAAAAATACCACCAATAAGTCAGTTTCGGGAAACTAGTAGTGGTTGGTGTTGAGAGATGCCCACCAGCCCCATCATGAAAGTCCCAACAGCTTGGTGTAAAATGCCAAGCACACATAGTGTCTACGTGACAGGAAAGCTGGATGGCCAAAAGTGCAACTTTGTCATAGATTCTGCATTTCTGCATCTCAACAAACTCTTGTGAGTATCAAGGTGCTAGATCACAAAGGAGTACCAGAAACCATACAGAAGCTCTGTGGTGTGACAGGACATTCTGCAAAGTTGTGGGAACCAGTGTGAGTAACTATTGAGCTTATGGGCATAAAGGACAGACACAAAGTATACTTGGCTGACATTGAAGACCAATGTATATTAGGGTTTGACTACTTACTACCGAGGAAGTGTGTAATTAGTTTTGATAAAATGACGTTTGGGAACAACAAAGGCCAAATTCCAATAAGTGTTAAAAGCTTGCAAAGATCTCCGGTTGTTATCAACTTCTTATTATATTGATTTAACTTGTTTAGTAAGTTAATATTTATTGTTTTTTGATGGAGAACGATATATTTCTATTATTTTTATATTATTATTATTTAATATGGATATCTATTGTTATACATCGTTAGTTGATTCAACCGCTATCTGTGTTACAGATAGTCTGGTTTTGCAAGTTATAGCAATACCCTTTTTGGAGTCATTTATATATAATCTATCTTTTCTAATTGAGGCATATCATATGGATTTTATTTGTTTAACATGGTTTATGCTATAACTAAAAGATCGGTATTTGTATGTAATAATATGTCATCAATCTCGTGCCTCTTGGAAGCAAGACCACCCGGGATACTTATACGTTGTACAGTGATTTTTTTTTTTAAATGTGGTCATGAAGTATTGTAATAGGTATGGTGTGATTGGTGTTATGGTGATTCTGACTATTGTACTGAGAAGTGTGATGCAATCTTATTTATTTTGGGGATTTTGAAATTCTTTAATGAATTCATAGAAAGTATTCTTGAGTACTTCCATGATTGGATTATTTTCTTTAGATATGAAGTTAATATTTGTAGTTTCGTGTTGTTCTATTGTTTGGTTATTTTGTTGCTGTGAATTTGCTTTGGAGGTAGTTTCGTTCATGTTATTTGTAGACTTATTTTGTGATTGTGATTGCTTATTTGTCTTATTTGTGTGCTTGTTATGTATCTAGTTGGTTACTGCTGCTGCATAGGTTTTTGTATGTGTGGGTGTTTGTTGTATAGAAGATCAGTTGTCTAAGAATGCTGTTTTTGATGTTTGTTGAATTTAGCGCGAAGCTTCTCAAGAGCTATCTACGTTAGGCGTCCCCCCTAATTTTGAATTGATAAACTAGAGGGAAGGTATGTGCTGAAAACCACCCATCGCCAACTCTTTGGTTACTCTAATTGAATAATGAGATTTGCTCGTCATTGTTATAATGCACCCACGACCCCAAAGTGCGCGAACAACGGATCTACGGGCAGCCATGCTTCCCAATGGATCAGCTAATAAAAGTGCCAATTTCATTATAGTGTTATTTTTAACTTATGCTTTTAATGTTACCGTTGTAAAGTCAAACGTATATTTCCAAAGTTAAAGAGCCTAATAAGAAAGGAAGCCTGAACGAGACTCGAAATAATTCACGCTGTATGTACCTTTTCTGTTTTACTTATAATTTTTAATTCTTTAACTTATACGGGAGTTTTGCACTTAATTAGTAAGCAAAACTTATGTGCATGTGTGAAGCTGAATTAAATGTTATAAAATATAGGATAATTTTGTTCAATTATTGTTCTGAGTTTATATAGAGCAATGTTGCTGAAAATGTCTGAAGTTTAGAATACCTTATAGAATTAAAACAAGAGGGAATCCTCAATAACTGCTGCACTTGAAATACCTTTAGGCAAGATTAGAGTAAATTAATCTATGAGACCTTGGGCGTGGTCAAATACATCAATCGAAAGGGTTTGACCACCTGAGTTCAAAACTGTAATTAGATCTCAAATCGGCCAGGAGATGACGGAGCTATGAGCTAAAACTTAGTACTTGAAAAACTCAGAACCATTCTATGAGCCGCTATACCGCGGCTAAAAATAAAAATAAAAAACTTGTAATTCACAAAATGTTTCTTTGGCAGCATTGTGAGTATTTGATGTAATATTTGCAAAAGAAAAAAAAATCTGTACTAACACCAAAACTAATTTAATGGATCCAGTAAAACAAAGTTTATAACTTACTTAAAATGAAATTTAAAGCAGTTATTCTATCGCCTTACATACTTTATTTAATGCAGTTTGGTACTATTTTTATAAGCTAACAGAAACAGCCCGACTCTCCTAGTAAATGTTGAGCCATTCAATTTTGACATCTCCGGTGACGTTTTTACATTACTTCGTACAAGTCCGCTTTTGCTGCACCGATACAGCCTGAAAAGAAAAAAATGCGCCGAGGTTTTTGTTGTTCACAGAGCTAATGACAGTATTTTAAGTGGAAAACAAATGAAATCAGATGTTCTTAATCTTAGCTCATCTGATAATTTTATTTGTTAACTTTTTATTCTAGATGAAATGTATTTTAAACAGTGTATGAGAATTATTTAAATAAACTGAAAACGCGAATCTATTTTGTCATAAATAAGTACTTATTAAGTTATTTACTCTTAAAATGGGCAATGTAAGTTTTTAAATGACCCCCTTCATTATCTTATTTTTATTCACACCAATGCTAGTCATCACCGCAGCGCGTTAGATTTGACGTTAGAACTACAGAGAAAATCATTAACTGAGACGAATTTAAAGTTATTGGTATATACTTTATATTGTAAATAAATCACAGTCTTAATATGTAATTTTCTAAAGGGTTGGTATTGGTAAACAATTTTGAAGCATAGATAATAAGTGGTTTGGTAAGTCGTTTTGCAGCATAAAATTAAAATTTATTTCAGAAAAAAAAAATCACTTTGTGAATCAAAATGTGAGCTGTCTGAAAAGTACATATTGGACGTTATATATATAATTTATTAATAAATAATCTACTAGATCTCAGTTCTGGTAAGAGAAGTATTAGTACTGCAATAGTGTAAGACTAAGAGAATGATATTATTCTGTTCACATGCAGCTGACACAACTCGTGAAACATCAGGGTATGCTACTATTGCTAACCTATACTATTAGTATTACTAGAGCATGACACAGATGTTGATAGTTATAACTTATATTTTATAAATTTGACCACTTGTTCATCTCTGGATGTGTATTGTATTTGAATTTCAGAGCATAGACCTAAAACTTAGTAAAGTTAGCGTTAAATTGTTACAGATCAATTGTGTTTTTATTTTAAATATTGATGACAGATGTTGTTACTGTTGAAAATATTGATAAAAACTGTATGATGCTGGAGAAAAGTGAAACCCTAAAAATATTATTGTGCATTTATGAAACTTGCTAAGCAAATCTAAAATTTAAATAATATATTTTAAGTAATAAACTTTTTCAAATTTTCACTTAAAAGTTTTGTACAATAAAATATTTGAAGGTTTCCATTTAGTTTTATGTGGATAGCTTAAATTCATTCAGTTTTATTATTTTAATTATTTTTGCATGATACAATGTTTTTTGTTGTGTCTCTTGGCCCTTTGTTAAGGTGGAAGAATTGGATTTTTAATTGTACTTAATTCAATGATACAAATAGCATTCTCTTGTTTTTTGACATCTAATTTATTAATATTTAAAGTTTAAATTTTTAATATTTTTTGTTCACTTGGTTTTACATAAATATGAATTTTTCTTTTTTGTTTATTGTATATTTATAAGGATTTTCTCTTTGAAATAAAGGTGGTAATGGCCCGCAAGCGAACCAGACAAGTTGAGGAAGAAAGAGTAGAACCAGCAGTTGATGCTGAGGATTTTTTCCCAGATATTCTGTAGGTTTTTAAAATCTGTTGAATAATTGAATATGGGTAAAAAGAAAAAAAAATGAGAAAGGAATTATTAAGCTCTACAGTGAACTTGATTTAGGATTTTATGGAGAATATCAAGTTCCAAAGATACAGGTGTTTTTCAGAGTATCTTCATTAATTTCACATTTTTTTTTAAATCTTAAAATCCTACAATTTTTATAGATTTGTTATAGTAAAGTTATATATGAAACTATTAAAGGTATACTAGTAAAACAAATATCAAATAGGAAGGTTGGAGAGAATTTTTTACACTAAGTAAATAAGAAGACAGTGTTTTACTCATTAGTTATGAGATTTTCTATTAATATTTTTTAAGGAGAGTGTTTTTGAGGAGATAGTTATTTTCCTTTATTATAAACACAAGTAACCTACATTTATGAAAGTATGTTAAGAATAGACTTAATTACTATTATCAAATGATTATTTTACTTGGTTCAGAACATGTAGTGTTTGAAACCTTGTAGTTTTTCATAACATCAAAAATATACATTAGAACACAAAAAAAAAAGGGGAAATTTAAAGTCCAGACTTCTCTTGGCCTTGCCACAACCACTTACTTAAAATTATTTTAATAAATTCACCCTTAACCAGTAACCCTGGATAAGGGCAAACCAATTAACAAAATGAAACGTATGGCAAATCCAACACAAGTCTAAGCCTTATCTCCACACACACCAAAAATGCAAAGTTGGGGCTAAGTAAAACAACAACATTAAACGTATATTATTCTGAATGACATATTTTTATTCTGTGTTATATTACTAGTACCATTTTAATTAATGCTATATTTAAAACTCTACAGAGATGTAAATTATCAAAAATATATTCATTATCTGTGTATTCAAAATATTTGTAGTGTAATGATAATCCAAAATATTTATTTCAGTGATGAAGTGGATGATGCCAATGACTTCCAGGTGGAAGACCCACCTCCACGCACTCGAGGAAAGAGGCGTAAAGTAGAAGGTCGTGGCAGAGGTCGTTCAAGAGATGTTGGAAAACGTCGTGGGGGTCCAGTAGATATGCCAAGTGAAAACATTAACAGCCTTTTTGAAATAGTGAAGCAAGGAAGAAGTTCATTACAGGTTGTAATATTGTCTTTTACAGTGTCACATTTGTAAAGTGTGTATCTTATATTAACTCTTTCAACACAGGCTCAGTTTCTGGGACTGACCTCATAACATTTTGTGCTTGTTATAGTTTTCATGCTATAACTTTTAAACTGGTTGGCGAACTTTAACAAAATTTGGCAGTTTATCAATAAACATTACAGTGCTTTCATATGCAAAATCTCTAATTAAGGTTTGTAAAGCAATGTTTCTCTCATGTCTTTTTTTTTTTTCACATCTTGCCAATTTATCATGCAAAGTAATTATCATTTTAAGATTAAAAATACTTTTATGCATCAG